GATGGAAAACTTTGAAAGCATCGGTTGCATAAATATTTCTTTTCTTTATGAGATGTATCCTTATTTACTAATCCATTTGGATTCTTAATCCAGAGGAAGTGATGCTTTTATCCATACTTACCTTTCTCAGATTTTATAATATCTGTAAGGGCCATAAGATAGATAATATGTTGCCTGTTATAGTTTTTACTATAAAGAATGGGTATAGGAGTATGTGTTTCTTTTTCCACTTTCAGATATTTATGGAGATATCTGGATTCATCTCCTCAATCTTTTGAAATGTTCGTGAACAAATTGGAGTAGGCATTGAGATTCTATCGAGCTTGATCACATCTAAATATGGTTTATATTTTATAGCTCGAAAGATTCATTCAAGATGATTTGTATGTCCATCCTGATGAGTGAAATAACAACCTAAAGCACCTTCGAGACATTTTTCAGATAGTTTATTTGTTACTGGATCTATAAGACCTTGATTATCTGGATTAATAGTACATTTTGTATTGGTGAATTTTTTTGGTGTAGAGATATAAGATCCTCCAAGAGCTCGATGAAGTGTATATGACTCTATAAATATCATTTCTAACTGGAAAAGGATTTTATCTGATTCTTCTTTCAAATATCTCTCGATATTTTGATCGATTTCTACACCAGATTAGATTATATGCTTATCTATATATTGTTCAGAAAGAATTTCACATTGGTAGCTTCTATGATATAGATGATGATATTTGACAGTATAGTTTGCCTGATCTGAAGGATTACCCGATCCATTATATTTATAAGATATATGTAGCATGTATGACTATTGCTGATTTTATTTGATCCTTTCTTTGAAGCTCTGTAATTGCATCATGTGCTGATGCTATAAAGTGAGGCATATATGGTGTATCTGCATATTCTTTCGAATTAACTTATTCTTTATTGAATGCATATGCTGGATTTTTACATGATGGAATAACCTTCTCCCATACAGTCATACAATTAAGAGAGCTGTGTTGTCTTTCAAGATCGCGTTCTCTTTTCAAAAATACTATATCATCATTAGATGGTTCCTCCTCTTTGTAAATTCCTTCTGCTTTCTCATAAATTGACCGGAAATATTTTCCCTTAGCATATTCCTGAGCATCTTGTCGCTCAACTTCATTAGGTTCTTTCTCACCAATTAATTCCTTCATATATTCTTCATTAAACATCTCAATACTAGATGATAATCCCTCTTTGTAAGCTTGAGTTGTTGGACCAGGATCTGCTTCAGAATTAGGAGTTTGGTTAATCACTTTTGGCTTCTCCTTTTGACTAGAAGTCTCAGAAGCTGAAGCTTACTTTGGTATATCATCAGGAGCAAATCTACATTGATTTTTATTACTTTTGTAATGTTGATGAAGTTTTTGAAATGTGGTAAAAGTCTTATTACAGCAAATACATTTATGATTATTTTTATCTTTTCTAACCATGATACTATAATAAGTCTAACCTCTAATATATATGTAAACTTTTGCTCAATTTAAAATAATTAATAATATAAACTTAATATTCAATTACCTTTTTTCTATTTTTTTGGAGTTATGAGAAATTGGCTAAAAAGCACCAGCCTTGCATAGAATTAGAATGTGGTAAGCCTACTTGGTCATCTTGTGATTGTTCTCATCTTCATACTAGGGGTTATTATATGATTCAATATGTGAATAGACTTCGGAATAAAGCCCTGATGTTTGATATATGTTCAAGAGGTTAAACTTTTTGTAAAAGTTAGATTTATTATATAGTTAGTCAAAAGGTTAGAAATTTTTCTTGCGATTAGATTTATTATATAGATAATCAAAATGTGTAATTTTTTGTCCTAGGATTGTATAAACAAAATAGCTTTAGAATAGTTTCCTGTATATTGATAAATTGATAATGTGCTAGAACATAATCATTAAGCTTTTGATTTGCAAACTAGATAACAGCTAAGCCTAACCTTGAAGAGGTTAGATTTAGCATATGGTATACATTTTAGGCTTGCATGATCAGGCTCAGCTCAAATCACGTTACTTTATTCCTTGATTTTTGATGGCCTCTCCAGAGGCAAGTAGAATAGCATAAAAGTTATTATTAAATTTGGGTTTAAAATGTCAGGCCCAACTCAAATTATGTCACTTTGTTCCTTGATTTTCGATGACCCCTCCTGTGACAAATAGAATAGTAAATTTTTTTTGATATATTATTTGGGATTAATATCAGGCTAGAATGGCTATAACAAACAGTATAATTCTTGATATCAGATAGGCTAATTCTTAGTCAAGTTCAATATCATCATCTAGATTTGAGTTAAATCGCATTAGAACTTTGAATTTGATAATTGATTCATATAGCTAAAATGGGTTCACGGTCGAATAGGAATCTTTTCTGAGTATTAATTAGAATTTGTCCCAGAAATCCCATTTGCCTCTACTCCAGTCAGTACCCATGTCTAGAACAGGTTATCTAATCTATATTTTTTTGTCGCATAATTTGTGCTCAACAACTTCTTCTGAGCTGACGATCACTGCTCAGAATGGATTGGATTTCATATTACTTGCTATTAGAATCTGACCAATTATTTTCTGTATCAGCCCATTCTACCTCAATATTCTGATTAAGCTTTTTCATTACATTCCTGCTAATACCTCTAAAACCTGACAAATCAAGGTATTTTAGGTTAGAACATGAGTGAGCAATTTCTCTAATAGCTGAATTACCAATCATATCACAATTATTGAAATTAAGGCGTTTGAGTTTAGAACATGAACGTGCAATAGTACGAATATTGAAATCAGTAACACTACAGCCACTTATATTAAAGTCTTCTAATTTATGACATGATTTCGCTATTTGTTTAACAGCAGTATCTGGTAACCCCTTCACAATTTATCAGTTCTAGAAATCTGAGGTTTCAGCATGAACGTGTAATAATATATACAGTAGCATTACTGATCATGAGGAATATTCTAAGATTAAGATGTTGTAAATTAGGATATGCATATGCAATTTTTCTAATGGACTTATCATTAATATAACCACATTTAAAGAGATCTAGATACACTATATTTAAGCATGAGCTTATTAATCCATCTATTTCCTCATCTGTTATTAAATGATTGTGAGATGTGTAAACAATTAATTTCCTTACATTTAATTTGTGAAATAGTTTTAAGTCTCTGCAAATATGAAAAAACTTTATTTGCTATAAACATTCTAATTCAATATGCTCCCATAGTATCTATCCTATAGTGTAATACCAAAATCGATTAACAAATAAGATGGGATAAAGAGCCTTGTCAGCTAATAAAAAATTTAGGATTGGTACTAGTATTTCAGCCAAATTTAATGGATTAACCATCCTTCTTTAAGAATTATTTAATGTTATATTGCGAATGCAAAGGCTTGAGTTATTAATACAGGGATAAAAATAGTCATTAAAGTGCTTCGTAAGATTGCGTGAGCATATATCTGATTGATTATCACTGGCAAAAATCTTCTGAGCTAATAATCACCGCTCTAGACTAGTTAGATCGGTAAAGTATCAGCATTTTATTTGATCAGCTAGTATTTTATCAAAATAATTTCTTGGTGATTGTCTTTTTATAGCTATAATAAGGTGATTAGTACTAGAGTCAACTGTCATAAATATATTGGAATTAGATTGTCAGAATTCCTGGTAAACTGAGTTCTAATATTAGCAACTGGAGGCTGTGTCGATATTAGCTCTATTACTCATTCTATCTCAGATCGAATATTATTTGGATCCCAGTAATTCTTGATATGGGTATTTGGATTTAGCTGATTCATAGCCTCTTTGCTAATTTTATAACACCCTTCCAGATTAAGATATTTTAAATTAAGACATTTGCTAGCGATCTCTTCAATAGTTTATCGGTAATTTTACAAAAGCTAAAATTAAAATGCTAGAGCCTTAGGCAACATTACAAATTGATATTTCAGTAATATCTATGTGGTAAGAAACATTTACATATTCTAATTTAGGGCATGACCATGCAATTACACATAGACCTTTATCAGTTACTATTCCACCATTACGGCTTATGTACTTATTCTTTTGCAAATTGTGATACTTTAGATTTGGATATGTTTCTGCTATTTGATTTAGTGTTTTATCACTAAATCCTATGCTAAAATTTAAATCTAAATGAACTATTTTCCTTTTTTCTCACTAGATTCGAAAAAGAGGCTAGGCTATTTCCTGCAGAAGTTATAGCTTCAAAGGGGGATATGCTAGATTTGAGCTAAAAATCGGCTTTTGTCTTCTTCATACCATTTTTATAAATTTTTTTAATTAAGTGCAATCCTCTCTTTTACCTTTCTTTAGCTCGATATGTTTTCATAAAATAGGAATACCACATCTATACCATAATCAGGAAACAAATAGAGCAGGATATAATAACTTATTTATTGCTAAGAAATGTAAAATCCATTCTAATAGTTCTGTTAAATAAAAGATGCTCGAATTCATCATAAATAGTCTGTATTATATGCCGTATCTTTAATCAAAAAAATATTTTTCGAGCAAGACTAAAGGTACTTCATATGGATCACTGCTCTGAATTAAGCCTTTCCACTATCTCATCTAATGCAAGCACCTGTAAACCATCTATAAGAACTTTAAATGTATTCTCAGGTGATAATCCTCTAAAGAATATATTTTTAAGAAACCATTCTGAATAGTCTTTGCTTAAATTACATTCTTTCAATTTCAAATAAAATTCCTTTACTGTATAATTACCTTGAACCAATTCCCACATTTGAAATTTATTCTCTCAAACAATACATGATTCACCATTTTTTTCTATATATCATTTATACTGCGAGAATTTTTTAGGTCTTGTTCTGGAAGATACTTTAAAATGAATGGTATTAATTCAGGTGGAAGTTGTTCTAGTAAATTAACTGTATGCATTTATATGGTTAGAATAACTTTCAATCAAAAAAAATCTTCTGACCAGATGATCACTGCTCTTAGCTGTCGATTGGGTTAGAAAAATCAGTCATGGTTCAGATTTGACTATCAGATAATGTTGAAATATAGTCTACTTTTTCAAATGGGATCGCAAAATTATCATGTAATAATAGTTTTGAACTACATATATCCAAAGTTGCACCATTTTCTCGCAACTATAGCATTCTTAAAATTAAATCAGGACTTAACCAATCTGGCCAAGAACTATAAATTCAATGGGTGTGCTTTTATGCTTCTCGCCATCTTCAAAACCAATATGCAGATTGACCTTTTCTAATGTGAAATAGAATGCATTCAGAGTTACAATGTTATTGCTTTCACTGTGATATATAATTCCTAATTTACCAATATATTTTTGGCTAATGCAATTTACATCAGTAGACGTATCAGTTAATACCTCAATAGGAATATTTTCTTCAACTACACAATTTACAATCATTATTTTTTATTATGGTATATAATATTCAAAATAATAAATAAATCTATCTACAAGCATTAGAGAATAATCTGGTATTCTAGAATGATAGTGTATATCATCACTCAGTCTGATTGGCTAATTCATCACTTCAAGCTACAAACTATTTAATATTTCTTCATCATACTTTTCTTTGGTGTTTATGAGGAACACTCTTTTTATCTCTTATCTAATTTATCTCAACTGAATCAGAATCTTTGGAAGATTCAGATAAATAAAAGAAACCCTTATATTTTTTGATCTTTGACAAGAAAGCTATTTCTTGTATTAAGTCGACCACAGTCTCTCTATCCATACATTCGTCTAGATCTTTTAATTCAATTTTTAAGGATCTCACATCTTTCTCCAATCTTTTTATCCTTCTTTCTAAAGTATTAGGTTGGGAATGATAATTTTCTAATTGTTTCTTTAGTATCCTATTTTCAACGAAAAGTGTACTATACATATTTGCATTTTGTTCAGGTCCAAGTAATTTGGCTATTTTCTCCATACGTCTGATAACTTCCTGTTTAATATCTGTATTATTAGATGAATGCTTTTGATCGGTTACCATTTTAGTGATATATTATATACGCTATATCTTACTTCAAACAAAAAAATAAATAAATAAATGATATTCTGATTCTCTAATCCATATATAGTATATGATTAGTTTTATCAAAGAACTTTAATACCTTTACCTAGTCATAAGATTACTCCTTTCGATGAAAATGATTGTAGTATAGTTTTGCACTAGAGAGGTGTGGTTATCAGGACTGTGCTAAAGGGCTTGACTAACAATAGTCATAGCTTCTGATAAATTCTTCAAATCATTTGATATGACTGCAAATACTGCCCCTAATTTGCGCAAATAGCTAGGGAGAAGTGGTTTACCAGTTTTGGGAAGAAATTCATCATTTTTCAGAAATGTATTTAACCATTTAACTTCTGGTATTCCTGCATCCTCCAACTGTTCAGAAGAAATCACATTCTGAACCCATGTAAGGAGAAGTTTAGCCCACTCTTTATTTCTTTCTAATTATCTAAATACCCGAGGATTATCCTATTGGCCTTGGCTTTTTGCATATCCAGTTACACTTTCATTAGATATGTTCAAGTCTTTAATTTCAGTGAGACAGATGCAAAGCATGATCATTATATCAGCTAAGACCTATTTGTCAGGTATATTAGACATCGTACAAATCTAACCTTTCTTTAATAGATTCTAATGAAAAGTAATCTGAAAAATCAATTTCTTCATTTTCACGTTGATTCTTACACTCTTTTTGAATTTTATTAGATGAGCAGGTTGTATCAGAAACAAATATAATAGAGATTTTTTGGGAGGCATTATGTTTTACAACTCTCTTCAGAGCCTACTAAGACAGGATGTGGTGGCAATAAGGTTAGGAATGGTTAAAGCCTTAACTATCGCCTTTACTTCTTTTTCACCAAAATTATCTCAGATAATATGCTGGACTATACTTTCAATAGTTTCTCTATCTGGAATGATGTCAGATACTTGGCATATATTAACTTCTCCTACTTTATCCCTCCTTCTATAAGGGTTACTCGACTTCTACTTTGACAAATTCTCTGATCAGGAACTAATATAAATGCCTGCTCTTTGCTAAAATTATACACTTTTTGAAAAGCGCTATCGATCCTTATCTCTTTTTACTTTATCTGTCAAAAGCTCAAGTAATGCTAAAGTATATTGGCTAAAGATGGTTCCCATAATTATTTTTAAAATTTTTAACTAGTTGCAACTTAAGTTGCAACACTTTGAATTGCAACTATTTATGAATTTTTATATTAAAATAAATTTACAAGAAGTTGCAACTTCTTAATTATGGTGTTTATCTTTAGTGTTGGCTAAGTTCATTATTACCCATCTCTTTATTGAGTTTGTGGTCTGCAACGTACTTTATTATAATCGCGAACATGATATTGTGAATATAGTCTATGAAGTAACTATTAGATTATGCATAACTTTTAGATTATACTACGTATAAAAAAATTTAATTCAAAAAAATATTTCTGAGCAAACAAAAAATAATAATTCAGAATTTTATATAGCTTAGTTGTAAAGAACAAATAAACCATCTTATCCAAATACTTACCTATAAACTGGTTTCTTACTCATTCTTTACCAAAGCATACCATTTTCCTGAAGTATGCTTATTGTTTTTTGCCATTTCTTATCGGTATCAAGCCACGAGGTTGTGAATCCATCATCCTGAAGTCTATGACAGAACTTTTCTTCTCCTATTAATCTTTCCCATACTTTTTATATTCATATATTTATTGGAATCTTTCTAACTTTACTGCATAACTACACATTCGAGAGTCAGTCTCTATTTTATCGTGAAATGTAATGGAATCGAGCTTACCTTTTTGTGATAATCATGAATACATCTGGATCTTCACCATGATTGATTGCCTGTTTCCTAAGATGTTCTTCTCACTGCGCTTTAGATAGGAGAATGGCAGATGATACTTCATTAGGCTTAGGTAAATCATGCTTGACACTTGTTTCTTTAGGAGGCATATTCACAGCTTTACAAATAAGCTTAATTGATTCAGGATGCTTGTTAGTCTCAGGTTTATCAATTATTAGCTCAGATATTTTAGAGGTCTTATATATACTAGATATTTTAGATATTAAGGTGACTTGAGCACTGGTATCTTATTTGAAAAGGTTTTAGGTCAATTCATCCTGTTTATTCACTTTCTTATCTTTATTAGTTCTAAGTAGAGGTGTATTCTTTTCTAGCTGAGGTAGGATTATTTTTAAAAGAATAATTTCTGGCACATTGAATATAGATATATCTGCTATCTCATTTTCAGATAAGTCAGATTGAGATGTATCTTCAGAAAATTCTTTGATATTGCCTAAGCCAGATTTATGAAGCTTGGCTCTAATTTTAGTGCGGTCAACTACCCACTCGTATTTGTTTACTCTTAATTCCAATTTGAGAAAACTTCTTTCTGGCAACTTTACTAGCTAATGGTATTTCACCATTTTCTTCACACCAATCAAAATAATTTTGATATAGTGCTATATGACTTCTCCTATCTATATTATCAATAGGTCAAGGTGTAATATGATCAATCATAAATCAAATAGGATTAGGAAGCTAGTCCTACTTATATCTACTTTTATTTTTGTAGAAGAAATTTTTTCTGGACTCCAATTTGATTTGATAAGTCACAGCTAAGAAGGTATGCCATTACTACTCCTGATGCATCAGGATAGTCTAGTATTTCTCCTAGCTGGTCAAAATATGCTATATTACCTCTACAATATGCAAAGACATCAAAACAGACTATACGAGAATCTCCTATATCTATCTTTAGAGGAGTATTCTGATTGCTTGTGATAATAAATCTAGAGAAATCATTTATTCTCAAAGTTTTTAAGACCTTTAGTCCTATAGAGACCTTTCCTTCTGTAATAAGTGATTTAAGATGTCCATTAAATCTATGCTATTCTCCACTTGACATTCCGGTTTTATTCATAACAATAAGCTTTTGAGCTTGAAGAGGGTTATTAAAGCATCTAAGGATTTTTTCCAAATCTGATGTCGCATAGTGAAGATGTTGTCCCAAAACTTTATCATCAATGAAATCAGTGATAATATTTTTTCTGCACTGTTGCAGTGTGGACTTTAAAACTAAGATTAATCATGGCTTTTTTCTGACTTCTGTACTAAATATGCCCACTAATTTCAGATGTATTCATTAAGTACTTCATTTCTATCGTAAATTACATTTAATACGTGCCAAAGAATCAGATCCATAATTTTTTTATTAATTTCTATTGCTGGTTTAGCCAAGAATCCTAGAAAAAGATTAAAAGAATTTGTAACTGGTTTGGAGGCATTTATGGGGTATAAAAGAAAATTAGTATTTTCATAAACTATTAGACCTTTAATGACTGCTTAGTCTAACAATGATTTTAACTTCACTGATTCGCCTCATATTCGATTATTTTAATCTCAAACTTAGCGAGCTTTAGTTTGGGCCTCATATCAAAATAAAGTCCATTTTCTGAATCTTTATGTTTTAGTATCCAGAACGGGATTTTCTTTTGAATATATGCGACTGTCGATTAAATTGCTTCATAAACTTTAGCACAGCAGAATTTCTCACCTGAAGTATACATGTATATTAAATCCCATCATACAAAATGATCATTTGGGTTTGAAATTCTGGATTATTCCAATTTTACTAGAGCTGGAAGACCTTTTTTCTTACTCAAGGCTGATTTACTAGAAATGAGCTTTATTGAGGGATTTATCATTTTAGGATTTTATTCATGATTTGCGTGATAACATTTAAATCTATATGATTTTATTTCGTATAATATATGTATTATCACTAGTATGTTCCTGATCACATAATGGGTAGTGTGATGAAGAGATGCGTGATAATGGAAATTTGTCAGGAAAGTTTTCAGATTGGTATAAAAAACTATATCCTTCTATGCTATTTCTCTAAGTAATAATTCCATAAATTCAAATTCAGCCTAAGTAATTTCGCTACTTATATCATTATTTTCATTTTCTTCAGTCAGGCATCTTTTAACTTCTGGCTCTGAAACGGCTAAGAGAGGACTATCAATGACTTTAAAATCATCATTTGGCAGATGAATCATGAAATCAAAGATAGTTCCATCTTTTAGACGAATAGGATTTTTCACACGAACGTATTTGTTTGTTTTTTTATTGTATTTGGGTTACCTAATCATTCGCAAAGAGAAAGATTTGGAAGGACCTCTATTTGCTATGTTATCAATAATACCTTTTTTTGCAATCCTACTAGAAGTTTTTTACGAACAAGTTTAGTGAAAACTGAAGCCTTAGCGATATTTGAAAGTCTCATACCGAAAGTTAAAGCATGTAGAGATATTTTTTCTCATCACTATTTTCAGCAATAGACATAGTTTCTTTATCCTATTTTGGAAAAATTTCTAGACAAGTATCTCAAAAAGGCAACATAATAAATTTTTCACCTGTTTGTCTGAAAGCTTGGGGGTAATAGATCTAATGTTTCTACTGGTAAATCAAAATTTATAATAGGTCAGAGTGACTCATCACCATCAATATATTTATGTAAGGAATAGCCTTTATGATCTGAAAGTATGGCTTCTTTTTCATCCTTGTTGTTTGCGCCAAGGAAATGTCTTGGTCTAATATTATTATCACGAATTTTATATAAGCATTCACCAATATTTTCAGCTTTAAAACCCTGTTTATATGGGGCAGGGCATTGAGGAACTCTGAAAGCTCAGATTGTGTTATTTTTCTTAGGCAATTTAAGATAATTTATAGTTATACCAAAACTCAAGGTATAATATTAGCAAGAAAAAACTTTAAAATGAAATTAATTAACCGAGATTATTAATCAATATACAAATGGGAGGCGGAAAAAAAGGTGACACCCTAACATTATATAATTGCCCATATATTCTTAGGACTAAAGAAGTATGCAATCAGAGATGCTATCATTTAAAGGGATATAAAGTCCATCAGAATTCTTGGCAAGTTTCTTGCAAACAACTCGAGTGCAAGGAATGGACTAGAGGCAGATATGGATTTTGTGATTCACATGCAAAAAAAATTAGAGCAAATAAATACTACTATCAGAAAAGGTTGGCTGAGCTGGCTAAGCTGGACGTGTGTGAATTTTATGATTCATATGCAAAGAAATATAAGGCAAAGGAAGAGTATCATCGGAAAAAGCTGGCTGAACTAGCTAAGCTGATTGAGGGAAATGATTCAGAATAAAAAGTTGTTATTATAGTTATGGCCATTTTGGATGCTAAAATTTCTTGATAACACTCTCTGTAACATTCGTGATGGCATCCTTATATAGCTACTTTACGGAAACTCAAAAAATTCTAATGATATAGATTCGATATTGAATCTATATTGTTACGATAACTTTACCATGCTTTGATGATAATCGAATCGAGATCATTAAGTTTATCTTTATTATATCATTTCGATGTAAATACAATATCGATACGATATTGATAATAATATCAAAATGGTATTGAAACGATTTAGATACGATATCGATATGATATTAATATTGAAATGGTATCGATATGATATCAATATTAATATTGAAATGGTATTGATATGATATAGATACAATAAAGTTATGATGTCGATTTGATATTAGATTTATGACAAAATGATATTGATATGATATTGAAACGATATATACATGATATTGATTTGTTATAAATTTGATATCGATTCGATATCTTTACTATACTAATACAAACTCTATTCAATATCGATACTATAATAGTATATTTACAAAATCAAAATAATGGTATAATATCATTTTATATTTTTTTATATTAAAATAGTAAATATTTATTAATAATTAAAGTTCATTATTTATTTATTTTATAAATTCAAATTATATGATCATTTTACATTTCATGAATAAAATTTACATTTTATAAAGTATTTAATATGACAGTTTAAATGCAATAACACATGTAACCCAAAGTATTTTACATAGTAGTAAATATACTCTTTCTGAATTATCGATGGTTAAATTAAATTTTATATAAAAACTTAATAATATTAAAAAAATAGAGTAAGATATATTATTTATCTTTTGAATAGATTTTCTTAAAGTTAATAATAATTAATTTAAGTATCAAAAAAAAATAATTAAAATTATGTGCAAAATCATTTGAAATATATATTTTCATACTTATTATTAGCTTGGTTTGTTCAAAAGTTCTGAGTATTAATTATATTATGAACATTTCTAATAATTGTTTTTGCTTTAAAATTATTATTTATTAGTCTTAACAATTATTTTTTTTTTAGCTGTAATAAAACTTTTTTAAAATAATATTTTCAATAACTTTTAGTAAAAATATAAAACAAACCTTAAAAAAAAATATTTAATTTAAAATATTTAGTAATAAGAGAAAGAATTTTATTTTTATTTTTTTAAAATGCGGTATCGCAAAATAAAATTTTTTATTTTTTTTTTTAATATGCGATAACTTCGCAAAATCTTTATTAATTTGAAGAAAATTTTATACAAAATCAAAAACAAAACAGAAAATTATGAAAACTTTTATCTAATACAAAACTATACTAAATCAAAATCAATCTTGCATCGTCTCAGACTACTCTACCCAAAATTAAATTTAAATAGAATCAACCATCTAGTACAGGGGGCCTAGTAGCTACCTAACCAAAAATCTGACCAATGCTTTTCATATCTAATGGAAGAAATAAAGGAGGGGGAGAAATAAGACGAGAAGGAGAAGAAGAAGGAAATCCTGTAGAAATAAAGTTCTCTTTTTTGGAGGTAATCGTGATATTCATTTGTGTTTCCAAATTTTGCATTATGACATTTCGGTCATTTCATATGGAGGAAGCTTGTTCAAAGACGTGATGATAAACCATTGACAGGAGGGAAAGAGTCATTTGTTTGTTGTTGAGAAACTCAAAGATACAGTCATAGAGGTTTAGAGGGACTAATCCTTTTATGATATCGATAAAACAGAAGTTAGAACCTTGGGAAATTAAGTTTCAAATGAAAGAAAGGCTGATATGTCTAAGTAGATCGTTAGGGATAGAATCCACTTCTTTAAGATCAACTAATTGAGAGAACAGTAGTTGGCGTGTGGAATTAATTAAAGCACAAATTCAATTGAAAGAGGAGGAACATAGATAAATATGATTAAAATCTTCTTCTATAACAGAATATCGACAACAAAGTAAACTAGAATGATAGAGAGAAGGGTGTCGTATTTTAAGGATTTCAAGTATAGGAAGCATTTCTAAAAGAAATTTGTACTTTTGTTTTCTGAGACTAGAGTCTTGATATGAAGTTGAAGAGTGTGAACTATTATCATTAAGGACAAAGGTGGATGCTAGCCAATTGATGGCCATAATATTATAACGAGAAAATTGTGTAAGAGATAGAGTGTCATGAAATCGAATGGATTGAAAAAGGAGTTTGATGAGAGGTTAAAATTGTTAAAATTGGAAATTTGTGAAAGGATAGGGGGAAGTCAGGACCAAATGAAATAGAATCAAGAGAAAGAATAGGACTATCCTTTTTTGCGAGAATGTCAACTTCATTGTTAAATTGGTCAAATGCATGAGCCTTGATTTTTGTGAATTATATAGAAATATTTTTATCCTCTATAAGTCGGAAAAATGCAAACCAAATTGGAAACTATGAGATGTTATATAGTGGATTATTAGTTGGAGAGCACCATTTTAAGAATTCAAATTTGTTAAAATTGTCAATGACCATTTGAGCATCAGTACAAATATTAATAATTGATGAAGTTGGGAAGACATATAAAGCAGTAAGGATGGCCAGAAGTTCAGCAAGTATAGATGAAGGTGAATTAAGAAGAAGTGTGGCATTAAAAGCAATGAACAGATATAGTGGGTTGGTTTGTAGCCAGGCGATCCCCATACAGACTGAAGGATTCCCTAAGTTAACTAAAGATCCGTTAGTATAGAATTGTAAAGTGGAAGCGTTAGTAAAATTAGCAGAATATAAATGAATGCGATTGATAGAATGTTTGTCAAAATAATTAAAAAAGGAGAAATATTTGTAACAGAAGAAGCAATTTGATTACTTGGTAGAGTAGATGAAGTTACAGAAGAAATAAAAGTAGCAAGAGCCAATTCATGTAACATGAATGGTGATAGAGGACATCGCGTGCCTTCCAGTTTGACAATTGATGTTTTTATATTTGCGTATAATTCTTTAGGATTTTTAAAAAAATAATAGCGATTCTTGCCAAACATATTGGTAGCTCTAAAAGTAGTATCGTCTTATAAAATACATCCATTACATGGTTCAAGAATTGAGTTAAAGTTATTATTGTGCAATACAATATGATGTTGTAAATGGATAGTATCCTCAGTAATAAGTAGTGTTTTACCCACTATAGAAGTTTGAAAGCCTATATTCCAAGTAGTGGCATAATTGGAAATAAATTTATTTATTTATTTTTTTTTTTTTAAAGTGCGGTAAATTTGCAAAAACTTTATTGATAGTAAAATATAAACATTACATAAATCAGAATTTACAAAAATTTCTATCTAATATGATTATAAAACTATACTACATCAAAACTGACCCTGCACTTTCCTAGAATCCAACATAATCTAAATTACATTATCACCTTTCAGAAACTAGAATAAGAAAAGGGCATGGCCTCTACTGCACCAAAAATTAGTCCATTGTGATCCTAATCGAACCATGTTAGTAATGAGTTCAGAAGGGATGAAACGTTCCATGGAGGTTGAAAAAGAATAACTTGTAGTGTCAAATTGTAAACGCTTATCATGTTTACCGATGTTGTGCGATTTTTCAAAATCATTAAAAAGTAAACACCGCCTTGTCCATATTATTTGTGATTTGTCGAAAACAAAATGCATAAAATAGAAAGAGCTGCAATTGTATAATATTTAGTTCCTAAAGTAGAAAGTATGAAATTGTAAAGGCTTGTTGGTATGACACCTTTAATAATGTCGAGGAAGGAAAAATCTGTGAGAGAAGATATTAATCAAATGTTTGACTGATTGATATTTTGGGGGAAAGCATGAAGGTCTAGAAGTAGTGCGAGGTGTTGTTTGGACTGTTTAACCAGTCTAGACAAATTATTATACATAGTGATACAATTCCAAATATGCGAAAAGTCCTCAACTTCAATATTGCAGTGAATAAATTCCATGACGAGTGATAAAGAGTTGGATGTCGCTTCTTTAGTATTTCCAACATTGGCAAGATTTTAAAAAGTTGATGAATCTTTTTTTGTTTGATAGTCGAGGCTTCATAACATGTTATACGTGAAGCAATATTATCGGTGATGCAGTGAAGGGTAGCAAGCTAGTGAAGAGGAGTGATATTTTAAAATAATGTCAAGGTTGAGGAATGCTGCTAGTATTTTTGCTCTTTTAATTTCTTTAATAAAGAGCTGAATCGGAGTATCTACAAAGAGGTTATTGAAAAGTAACGTATAATGCTCCTCGTCATTTAAATTGATTTAGAGAGCCGATAAGGACAATGATTGTTTTGCGAGCGAATATACTTTGTCATTGAAAGTGTCTTCAGCATGTGCTTTCACTTTGATCAAGGATACAGTAAGATTCATCTTTGTTATAGTATTGAAGACGCAATGCCAAATATGATGAATGTTGGTAATCTTCAAAAATAGTCTTTGTAACGGTGAGTAATTTAACAAATTTTTATATTTGTTGAATTATGCAATAACTACACTAGAATCAGTGAAGATTTTAATTCGACATTGGGAAGAGGCAACTAAAATCACCGTAAAGATAGCAGTCAGCTCCGCGACTGACGAAGATGAGAAAGAGGTGGTGAAAGCTGATGAATATGAAATAAATAATACAGTAGGCAAAGTTTGAAGCCAGGCTAGACCCATTCTAATTGAAGGTATTCCTGAATTAATAATAAGCCATCAGAGTAGAATTCCAGGTCAGAACAAGTTGTAAAATGTGAACTTAAGGTTATTAAATGTGAAGAATGAGAGGAACAGGATAGGTGAGCGTTTCATATTGTGGTGACCTTTGGATAGTCTTAATGGTATGGTTTTATCAGCGGCTTTAATGATACATTCCTGCAATAAATCCCAGTATCTGTTCAAACTAGTTTGATCAAAAGTTGTATGGTTGTTTAGAAACCTTAGAGCACGTTTATTAGCCAGTGCATCCGTTTTATTACTAAATTTACATCAGAGATCTGTGGTCATTTTTCCAAGTTGAAAATTTTCTTCAGAGGTATCTTTTGCTTAGTTTGTTTGATGTTAAGAAAATTTTCACAATTGAGTATGACAATCGAGTGGTCTGATAAGGTGGTAGAAACATCAACTGTAGAACATTGAAGTAAATGAGAAGCAATATCTACTGTTGACCATACATAATCAATGCGTAAAGTCGCATTATGAGATCGAAAAGTTGGATAATTAGCTTGTAATCTATCAAACATTAACGTGTAGGAGTCAAAAATATTTATATTTTGAATTGTATCAAAAAGTTTTTATTTATTCTAGCGAGATTGGGTTTGTCTATATCTGCATCAAAGTCTCCCAAAAGGAGAATATAAAAGTTGTCTGATATTGCTGAATGTAAAAGTTTAATAATTCAGCATAGACTCATTTTTTGTTTCGATATCAGCTGGTGGTATATAATAATTAATAATTCTCAGTTTTTGTTTGTTTGAAAATTGGAGGTCTGTTAATATTATTCGATTAAGTAAAGAATTGTGACGAAATATATGATTGGCTAGTTGTAGGGTTAGTAAAAGGCTGACACCAAAACCTGTAGATTGCGTTTGATTATGTGGTTGAGTGCCAAAAAAACCAATGTATTTTTTAGCAAAATTCAAATGAAAAGGGAAATATTGTTTTTGGAGAAATTAGTTTCTTGTAGGCCGTTTACGTCAATATTTAATGAAGAATAGAAATATACAAGAGTGTGTTGTTTTGCAGGATTGGTAAATAAACGAACGTTATGTGTTGCAAAAGAAAGGGATGGGAGAGGGAAATTATTATTATTAGGTAAATTAGATTGTGCAGCTAGTGCATCCACATTAGTAGTGCCAGTATTCATAAAGATAAAATTATTGAGGGAGGTTTTTGGAGTACAAATCCATTTCTTGATCATACAAAGTGCTAAGAGCAAGGATAGTATTAGCTTGATCTTTGGGAAGAAGATCTCGTTTAATCAGAATGGATTAGAATGAAGTGCATGACTTGACTAAAGTATTGACTATAGATGTTACAGATTTGAGGCGTTGATTTTGCATTTGGTTGATTGCTCAGAGGTCTTCAATCGTTTTTTGTTATTTAAAAATAAGTGATGTTGAAGTATCAATAGTGGCTTCAATATCTTCATCCATTTCGTCAGCATTAAGGTTTTTGCACACAGCTTTGATAGGAGTGATTACCTTAACGTTCAAGGTTTGTTCAATTGATTCAACTCTTTTGACAGTAAAAGAAAGTGTTTTTATGAGGTCAAGTAAATTCGCTTCAAAATTAGCGAATTGTGAGAAAATAAATGCTTTTATGTCATCATTAGTGTTACTATGCATAGAACCACTAGCCTTTGTGCCTTTGGCAAGATTGTCAGTGGTTGAAGAATAAATAAATTGGTCAATACGTAGGCTTTCTTCAGTATTGTAAGGAACGTCATCTGACCAGTTAGTTATAGACTTATTGACAAGTGGATTGGGAGAAGGTTTGACTTTAACTTCTTGTCCTTTGGTAGCATCAGCAAACGTGATATCAGGGTTAACTGTGCCTCTCATTTTTTTAGTGCTTTGTAATTCGAAAATTGGGCTGGTTGGAAACGCTGATATAGATTTTAAATGTTATGATCAGCTGGTTGCATTCTTCTTTTTGGGCAATCACTTGCTTTGTGATGAGATAACGAGCAAATAGCACAAAGTTTCACATTAGGAAGAGTTTACGTTATGTGTTTACCATCGATCGTGAGGTTATCATTACTTATAGTTGCTTTAAAATCATCAGCTGAGTGAAAATAGAAAAAGGCATGTTGTAAGTTATGATAGTTAGAACGTGCTTTAGGTATAATCCAGGCTAAAGCGTTGACCATGTGGCCAATATCCAAAAGTTGTTTTCCAGTGGTAAATCTAGGGAGGCCAGCTAGTTTTGCCGAAAATTTCGATTTAAGAAGGATATCCTTTTTTGGTAAGTCACATCCATATACTTTGACTATATTGTTTAAAACAAAGATACCATAACATGCTGCAAGTTTCTTAAAGTAGTATTTTCTGCAAATGTAATTGTGGCTTGTTGCCACATGTTCTTAGTTTCCATATTAAACTTGACAATCGTTCCGAATTTAGAAAAGACCATTTTAATTTAGTGTACAGTGACATCAAGGGGAATTTCTGTAATCTTGATCAATTAAGCTGGAATGAACGGGTGTGATAGAGTAATTTTGAGTGGAAGAAACATGCAGTTTTCCAATTTAGGTAATTGTACTGAACAGGCATATTCTTTTTCTTCTTTTTTGTGGAAAGAGATTTTAATTATTCATTATAATTGGTTCATTGGGTGTCTGGTAATCGAAGCTCCTATAAAGGAGTCATATTTGTCAAAAAAAAGGTTGATAATACAAGATGATTTTTGTTATGGAGAGGTTCTCAGGAAGTTATCGAGCGGAAAAAATCTATGGAAAGTAGGTTTTGGACAGTCAAAAGCTTGAGCAGAAGTGTATTTCTCATTTAGCATATTTTCAGACATGTTATTACTTTCATCAATATCAAAAGAAGTATTATTGAAAGTTTTGGCTATTGCTTCAACTTCTTTTTCCTTTTCTTTTGGAGAAGATGTTTGGTCAATATCCATGATAATGGAAGTTGTTGTTTTTGAAGTGCTTTGCTCTGAAGCAGTCTCAAGAGTTTTATTGGTATTTTGTTTCTTAGCTTTATTTGTTACAAGTGGAGACGCAGAGTTGGTCAAATTAATTGAATAAAATTAAAGAATTAAAAAATGAAGAAGAAATAAAATTATCAGAGGATAAACTAGGTTCAAGTAAATTGAAAGTAAAAGTAGAAAGTGCGAGTTCATATAACATGTAAGGCAATAGAGGACAACGAGTGCCAACGTATTTGATAATTGAAGTTTTAATATTAGCACAAAGATTAATAGGGTTTTGAAAAAAACAATAATGGTTTTTTCCAAACATATTAGCGGCTCTATATAAGTAGTATTGTTGTTTAATATACAACCATTACATTATTCCAAAATTGAGTTACATTGATTATTTGTCGAAACAGTATGATGCTGAAAATGTACAGTATCACCGATAATCGCTAGGGTTTTCTCAACAAGTGAAGAATTCAGAGCGACATTTCACATAGTAGTATAGTTTGTTTGGTTATGTTTAAATACGGGAGGCCCAATGGTAAGAAAATTTGAGTGGGGATTGTGAAGAGCTTGAGGCAATAGCCGTAAAGTTAATGTGATATTTAATTCATCTTGAAGTTTGACAAACCAATGAGGAATAGCTCGTGTGACTATATTAGAGGAGATGACACTAAGATCTGAGTGAGTAAAAATTGTAGACCCCTTACTTGTCGTAATTTGATCAAGGAAAAGGATTTCTTTCTTCCTAAGATGAACTGAAAATGATCTATAATCTTTTTCATTGAAGACATTGACCAAAGGATAACGCCCTCTACGGATCTCATTTTGAAATTGTTGAGAAGGAATTAATGACATGTCAAAGCATTTAAAGGATGAAAGAACTGACGACCACCAGTCTTTAAAGTTATTTGGATTGGAGAAAGGCCAAGAAGTCAAAGGAGAAAATGGCAACCATTCTTTCTGTTGCAATTTGATTGCATGAATTCTTGAGGTAAGGTCAACCAAACCTTTATCATTAATTATTTTAAACAGATTAGAACATTTCAATTGTAATTGTTTGTCAAATAAATGAGATAAATTATAATGCATCGGTGAATGAATGATGGGTGCTGGAAATGATTTGGATAAATACATACTAGATCAAAATAATTTACGATAAGAACCCATAATGTTATAACAAAAGGTTTTTGGTAGATAAGTTAATTGCGTTCTATATTGAATTCTTGGAAGAAAAACAGAATTAAATATTAAGATGATTTGTTTGTCAGTGAGTTTCTTTCTAAACATCAGTTGAATAGCTAATCTAATCTCAATGGAGGTTTGTTGTAAAATATATTTTTTATCATTTGTTAGGGAAAGCCAAATACCAAGATATCGAATTGGTATTTTAGGATCAATAGGAGTGAGCCATATTGGATTATTGTTAAATTGAAATTGTATTGCTGTGGTAATAGGGATAGAGGTCAAAAGAACAGAATTATCCCAATTGATTGAATAGAGTTTAAACTATAGAAACTATTTGCAATATTTAAAATATTGTTAAGGTCATCTTTAGATTTGCCTATCCAAAGAGTATCATCTATATAAGCGAGAGTAGGAATATGGGCTTCAATTGAAATGGTAACATTTCGTAAAAGATTGGGTTTTCAGATAACTTGAGAGCAATATCTTAACGAGGAGTTTTGGATTTTACATAGTAACAGGTCATAATAAATACACCATAAAATCGGTGATATGATTTCCTCTTGATCAATACCTGAGAGGAATGAGAAAATAGGGGTATTTCCAAAAGTGGTAAAGACTTGATTAAAACAGTTAGCGAAAATGGAGAGAACAAAGTATCGAAAGTTCAAAGGTAAACAAATTCTTTTAGAGCATTATGTAACATGCCAAGGTTTACTCAATCGTAAGCTTTGGATATGTCTTGAACAATTCTTTCGATTTAGACTGATTAATATCATATTTAATGTTATCAAAAATATGAATTGGTTCGAAGGTTGAACGAAAAGGAAGTCCAGCAAAATTGTATCCTTTTAAAATATTATGTTTTGAGAGGATGTTTGATAGACGTTTGTTAATCAGTTTAACTAGAGCTTTACGTGAACACTCCAGTAACATAATTGGTCGAGTGTTATTAAGGTTTAAATAAAAGCGAGATTCCAACGAACAGGTGTGAGAAAAAGGTTGAGATATTCACAAACAAATATCCAAAACACTTTTCTCATCTTAGGTCCAAGATTCTTTAGCATTTCATTTGAGATTTTTTAAGGACCAGGGGCTTTATCATTTGGGAGAGCTGAAATAATATGAGACTATTCCTCTTCAGTAGGTGCAATCATAAGGTCGTTATAGATATTAGGATCAATATAATTTATGGAAGCATATGAAGGAATTCTATTCATCAGATATGTTCACTTCGTGATGACAAGAGCCAGTAACTTGTTGAAAATGGCGAGCAGTTTCTTGTTTGATCTCCTGAGCAGAAGTGAGTAAGCCTAGATTTCGTTAAGAGTTATCCAGGCATCGATCTAGAGTTATAACTTTTCTTTCTCTATGAAGGATTGAATCAATCATTTTAGTCTGATTCATTGAG